TTCTTTTACCTTTGGAAAAAACATTCTTTCTTTGTTATACAGTGTCTTCCCCCACCCCCACACTGAGCACTTTACTGTGCAACTCTTATTCTGGACTCTTGTCATACCAATAATACCTAATCATATATTCCTTTTATATAGTTCTCTCCCTCGTCTGTTTCAATGCCATGCCATTATTTATCCCCTCTTTTCTTAGTTTCCCCCCAACTCTCATATCAGTCTTATTCTATAACAGTGGCAATATTTGTCTTTTTGTGACTGAGATATTTCACTCAGCATAATGTCCTCCATGATCACCCATTTTGTATAATATTTCATGAGTTCTTTGTTTTCAGTGCTGCATAATATTCCATTATGTGAATATACCACAGCTACTCTTCCATTTGTTTGTTGATGGGCTTTTGGGTTGTTTCCAACTCTTTGTTATTGTGAGCAAAACAGGAATAAACATGGGTGTGCATTGACCTTCTATCTTTCTAAGTATGATGTCCCTCTCCAAGAAATAGCCTTTCCCAGACACATGCCCAAATATGTGAGACAAATCTTTGCCATCTTTGCCTCCAGGGAGCACTCTGGCTGCACATTCTCCAAGACAGATCTGTTTATTCTTTTGGCAGCCATGGAATATTCCGTATTCTTCTCCAGCACTATAGCTCAAAGGCATCAATTCTTTCGTCTTTGTCCAGCTCTCAGACATTTTTTGCATGACAATCAACAAATCAGCTAGAATTTTATGACAAATCTTCACAATCCTAGTCCCCTCCAATCCCAAGTATAAGATCCACAAATAAACCACAGCTCCCCCAATACCCATTCATGTTTTCTGCTTGACTCCCATTGGCCATGGAGTTGGCAAGCCTAGTGTCTCATTAGATCTCCTCTAAAACAAAATTTTAAAATATGAAAATGGAAATAGAACATATAAAGAAAAATTAACCAAAAAATTTAGAACTGAAAAATAACCAGATAAAAAAAATCCAATCAAAGGAATCAATAGCACAATGAGAGAGTAAGCCATGAATTCAAAGATAGAATTAATAAAATGATACAATCTGAACAGCAGAGAAAAGAGATTTCAAGCAGTGGTTAGAGGTCAGGGGACAACATAAGGCTAACATTTTCGTCTTCAGAGTTCTTCTAGAGAAGAGGGAGTAAGAGGTTTAAAAAGATATTTGAAGATACAATCCCAAGAAGCAAGAGAGAGGAATGATGAAATGGAGAAGAAAAGTAACTGAAAAATGGTAGAATAATGTTACAACTGTAGACAACTCAAGTTCAGTCCCACTGAAAGGATGTGTGCTTCAAAATTTCACCTTCCAGAGGTGAGCAACTAGTTACCCTCCAATTCTCATGCCTCATGATGCTCTTGAAGGTGGTCAGCCTGGACCAAACATGGTCCAACAGGCTTCAGAAGTAAACAGTCACCCTGGAAGAAGGAATGGATGCAGCAGTGAGGAAGCCACGAGCCAATAAAGGAACCACCCACCCGTGCCCTTGGGAGCTGCAGGGGCGCCTTTGGGTGGATGGGAGGATGGGGTAGCTCATTGGATACCGCATAGCTCATTACCACAAGTTTAGTTGTTTAAAACAATACACATTTATGATTGCAGTAGTCTGGACATGAGTCTGACCTGAGTCTTCCACTTAGGGTTTTGCAAAGCTTCCATTGAAGAGTGACTAGGCTGCGTTTTCATCTGGAGGTGTGACTGGGAAGAATCTGCTTCTAGGATTTTAGCCACATTTATTGTGTCTGTGTGATGGAAGGTTGAGCTCTTCGCTATCAGCTGAAGGCCACATTCAGGTCTGCTTGAAATTCCTAGAGTCTGCTCAGTGCCTTCCTGGCTCCTAGTGCTCCTCGACATGACGTCTAATCAAGCCAACTAGGAAATCTCTAACTCTAGTCTGTCAAAATAGAGTCTTAGATGACATCTGACGGTTAAGGTTGTGGGCCAACTTGACCACCCAAGATTCCCTGATTGTCCATTTGTCCATTGTGGACAAATCTCATCCCCTTGATGAGATCTGATGCCATGTAATAATCTCCACAATGAGGTGTACCATGAGAGGGAATTTATGTGGGGACATGGCCCTCTTCAAATGTATGTGGACATTTGGGCAAAGTTCTCTTGCTTTTTGCTCCATCTGGATCCTACATCTGTCTCATAACCAGCTAATCAAAGGATCACCATCTGGTTCTTTGAATTGGAGCCAGTGGCTGCCTTATAACCTACTCATCTTGAATCTTCTAACTTCTGCAGTCAGCCATCTGACCTGCAGTCTTGAGTTTGTCCAGAGAGGCTTCCAGTTTGACTTCTGATGCACAGACTTGGGGCTTGCCAGTTTCTACAACCATGTGAGTCACCCACTTAAACTATATAGTCCTTGGGAAAGACCATCACGCTTGGAAAGGTGGTTCAGTGTCAGAGGAAGACCTTCAACAAGGACTGACGACACAGCGACTGTAGCAATGGGCTCAAGTGTGTTGGGAGTGGTGAGGATGACGGGCTACGGCAGCGTTCTGACCCACTGTTAACAGGGTGATTGTGTGCCGTGGAGTTAGAACCGACTCCTGGCTGACCCTCCTCTGAGTTTCCAGAGGCTGTAAATTGCTAAGGAGGAGGTTGTCTAACTTTTTTTCGTGAAGTAGCTGATGAATTTCAACTGTCTGCCTTAGGGTTGACAGCACAAATCCTTACCCACTAGACCATTAGAGCTCCTTCCCTGGTTTTGTTGCTCTAGAGAATCCAGTTTAAGACATAACATAACGTCATTCTACAATTTAGAGTAACGGGCCAAGCCTGTACTCAAGGGGAAGAGGCACAAATGCAAATGTATGGACATTGGGAGGTGGAAAATCCATGGGGGGGGGGGTGTGTCACCTGAGGTCGTATAGGTCCCGGTAGGACACTGACGGTGGTGAGTGGGTGTCACCTGAGGTTGTATCGGCCCCAGGAGGGCACTGACGGTGGTGGGTGGGTGTCACCTGAGGGTGTATTATCCGTGATAGGGCACTGATGGTGGGTGGGTAGGTGTCACATGAGGATGTATTATTGGCCCTAGTAGTGCACTGACAGCGGTGGGTGAGTGTCACCTGAGGATGTATTGGCCCTGGTAGGGCACTGACAGCGGTGGGTGTGTGTCACCTGAGGGTGTATCAGCCCCAGGAGGTCACTGACAGAGGTGGGTGGGTGTCACCTGAGGATGTGTGTGCCACCTGAGGGTGTATCGGCCCCAGGAGGTCACTGACAGCGGCGGGTGGGTGTCATCTGAGGGTGTGTTGGCCCTGGTAGGGCATTGACGGTGGTGGCTATGATGCTTCTGTGACCTTCGGTGCTGTACAGATGGGTCTGCGCACTGCCTGTTGCCCTTGATTCTGGTTGTCCTGCTACTACACACAACAGAGTGTTATTCCAAGTATCCCAGGGGTTCCTGAGAGCATGGTAGAACGGGTGTCCTTCCCACACTCACTGTGTGACCTCCTGCAGAATACTCAAGGCCTCTGGGCCTTCATGTCCTCAGATGCAAAAAGACATGGATAGTATTAATACCAGTCAGGCTAGCCTTGTGGGTGCTTCCAAAGGGCCAATGATCTGAGTTCTAACCACACCACTGTGCCCCAAAGTGTCCCCTAGTGTTTGTACTATTAGACTACCCCTTCATTCCAGAGAACCCCCTTTAGTTCCCCTCATTCTGCAGGCCTCCCCGAGTCCGAGTCCCACCAGAAGCCTTAAGTGCTTTGTCAATCCTGTCTGGTGCATGAGGGGGTGAGCTCATCCCTCTGTCCATAGGAGCAGAAGTTGTGTTCTGGAGACGGTTTCAATTCTCTCCTGTTACCACTTCACTGAGGAGTATTAGGGCAATGAATTTTAAAAGCATGAATATTTTATTTCTTGATCATTTATTCTGCTAAGTAAGGTCTGTCATTTCCAGGAACAGCCAGCCTGGTGATTCCCAAGGGTTGGCCAGGTTGGGCTTGGCATCTTGTGCGGACGGAGGACCTTGACTCCCCTTCTTGGACCCTGAGGGGGCCCTGTCCATCGTACTGAGAGTGAGTAACATGTGGCCTCACTTCCCCTGGCCACCACTCCACAGCAACTTTTGACTTAACGAGCTCTGATGCTCTGGGTATGACCTAAGAGGGGCGGGACCAGGGAAGGGTGAGAATGGCAGGCTCTGTCCACTGCAGCAGAGGGTTAAGACTTACCAGCCCCACCTCTATCTCAGTCCTTGTTCTTGAAGGAGTAGGGTCGGAGAAGTGGCTAGTGTACCATACTGGACGCTTGTCTCAAGAATGACCTCGTCTTATCCCTCCTCTCTCTTGAGAACGAACACAGGACTTGAGCCAGGCAATCTGAGTTTGAACCAAAGTCTCCCTCTAATGACTACGTGAAGTGGTTTTGCGTCCATTACCTCACCTGTAGAACGGGATTTACGAAGGGAGCTCTGGTGGCTTGTGGTAAGGAGTTGCACGGCAACCCAAGGCACGTGGTTTGAATTCACCAGCTGCTCCCCAGGAGAAGGATGGGCAGTCTTCTCTCATGTAATTTACTGCTTCTGAAAACTCACGGGAGGGTCAGCTGTGAGTCTGTTCTGATTTAATGATACACAACTACAACAACAACAACTAAGCTGACATAACAGCAGACACGGCTTAGGGAAGAGCTCAGTCACCCTGATATGTTGTCACTAGGTGGCCTAGTGGATAGGGACTTAGGCTTCCAAGCCAAAGCAGGCAGGTTCAAATCCACCGGCTGCTCATGGTGAGGATTATGGATAATCTGTTCCCTTTAGATTTACAGCCTCTGAAAACCAACTGAAGGGTCAGATGTGAATCAGTTCTGACTCGATGGCAATGAGTCTGAGGGTTTTTTGATGTCTGTTTTGGGTCACATAGCATTCCAGAATCTCGTGTGAGGCTGGCATGGAAGAGGTGCTTTAAAGGAACAGTGAGGTGGTGAAGGACCATGAGGTCAGAGTTTCTCAGGCACTGAGATGTCGCTTTAATTTACCAGCGGCACCTGATCACATCTTTTGCTCCGGGGAGGGCGGAGGAACCTGACAAGTGCCCCCGTCACAACCAGGGTCGTGCCTACGAGCAGCATCAGCTTCAGCCCCTTGAGGACTGAGTCGGCCTTCCCTTGCTGAGCCTCGCCTGCCTTCTGCTGCTGCCTAACCCTCTCTCTTGTCTGGACCTGCGGGATGGACATGGGATTGAACCGAGCCATGAGCTCCTGCTGCACAAAGCATGTGTAGATGGCCGGCTGGAAGATCTGCAGCTTCCCACCACCATTGGTGGGGTCCAGGATGGTGTTAAAGTCCCAGCCGGAGAGCTGGCCGTGCCACGTCAAGGGTATGCCGTCAGCTTCCCAGGTGACAGGCCTGCAAAGAAAACAAGGTCAGCTGCAGGGCTCCTGATGGAGCAGAGGAGAGTGGGAACTGGCATGTAAGGGAGGTAGAAGAAGTACCACCTTTCCGCCTGGTTGTTAGGTACCATCGAGTCAGAACCGGCCCGTAGCTGATCCTCCAGTCAGTTCCGTTTCAGTACACACAAACCCCACGGGGAGACTGCCTTTCTCCCCAGAGCAGTTGGTGGATTCAAATCACCTTTGGGAAATTCAATTCTGGGGTGGCAGCACAACTCTTTACCTACTACACCAGCAGAACTCCCTTAGATACTTAAAAGAGGGGGAAAGGCCCTCAAGTGAGAGAAAGGACTAGAAGTCACTGCTGGAATAAACACGGAAACACGGCCAGGTGGAAGCGGCGAGGCCCACGCTGTACGGAGCTGCAGAGGCTGCAGTTTCCTCGCCTTCCCCTCTCCACCTTCTAGCACCTGCACCTGGCACTGGAGGAAGGCGGGGAGGTGAGGGACCTTCTGGTCATATCTGCTGACTCGGGCATCCGCACTATTGCCTATCATGGATCCCAAGGCAAGGACCGTGACCCTCCAAGCTAGCTTCCTCTTTTGTAAAATGGGTTTCTTCAGAGTCCACAGTTTTTGGGACCAAAGAAGATGGAGTGAGAAAACACTGTCCATGAGGTCTCCTGATCCAGCACATAAACTCGTCACCTGTGAACACTTCTAGTTCTCATAACTGAAGGGAATGGGAAGTAGAAGGGTTTCAGAGAGGAAGTGAAGGGGAGATTTTCTAGCTGCTTCAGGCAAGAAGACACTAACAAGAATGTGAAATCGTTTTTTCTTCGACATCTTAACAAGGCTGCACTTGTGGTAGCTCCTCTCCGAGCTTCGCGATGCCGCCCAAGGACGACAAGAACAAGAAAGACGCCGGGAAGTCGGCCAAGAAGGACAAAGACCCAGTGAACAAATCTGGGGGCACGGCCAAGAAGAAGAAGTGGTCCAAAGGCAAAGTTCGGGACAAGCTCAATAACCTGGTCTTGTTTGACAAAGCCACATATGACAAACTTTGTAAAGAAGTTCCCAACTATAAGCTTATAACCCCAGCTGTTGTCTCAGAGAGACTGAAAATTTGGGGTTCCCTGGCCAGGGCAGCCCTTCAGAAGCTGCTAAGTAAAGGGCTTATCAAACTGGTTTCAAAACACAGAGCTCAAGTGATTTACACCAGAAATACCAAAGGTGGCGATGCCCCAGCTGCTAGAGAAGATGCATAAACAGGTTCAACCAAACTGTACATTCTAAAAAATAAAATTTGACTCAACCAAAAAAAAAAAAAAGAATGTGAAATCTATCCATGATGCAGTCCTACTGGGTGTCCTGGAAGAGTGACACCATCCCCTTCCCCTGGGAAGCTCTTTCTGATCCTCCCAAGTCAGTCAGTATCTCTAGAGACCATCTCCTGTGGTGTCTCCATCACGGCCCTATCACATTGCCCATCCTCCCACCACTCTGCCTGGGACCCTCATCACAGCCCCATCACTCTCCCCAGGACCTTGTCACAGCCCCTTCACTCTCCCCAAGACCCCCTATCACAGCCCCATCACTCTCCCCAGGACCCCTATCACAGCTCCATCACACTGCTCATTTTCCCTCTTCATTCTCCCCAGGGCCCCCCATCACAGTCCCATCAGTCTCCCCAGGACGCCCATTACAGCTCCATCACTCTCCCCAGGACCCCCTTCATAGCTCCCATCAGTCTCCCCAGGACCCCCATCATAGCCCCATCACTGTCCCAAGGACTCCCCATCACAGCGCCATTACTCTTCTCAAGTCTCCCCATCATGGCTCCCATCTCTATGCCCAGGCCCCCTCATCACAGCCTTCATAATTCTCCCCACGACCTCCATCACAGCTCCATTACTCCTTCCAGGCCTCCCATCAGAGCCCTCATTTCTCTTCCTGTTCTTTCCCATCATAGCCCCCATCACTCTGCCCAGGGCCTCCTCATCAGAGCTCTGAAGTGGCCTGTGGGATTCCTGAGGCCACGTTGGCCTGGAGCTATCTGGGTGACTACTGGGTCCTCAGGAGAGCCCAGCAGAAGGCCAACCGCAGTCAATTTACCTCCCCTAACATGCCAGGCACTCTTACCCTAGGTATGTTATGCAGTGTTATGTGGCACTAGCAGACAGTGGGGCTGACCTACAGACCGCCCCTCCTTGTCTGCACAAATGGATCATGAAGGCTCGCAGCTGGGACACAGGGCCTGGGGAGGGGTCTCGCCAAGCCTGGCACCGGGGCTCCATCACCTGTAGATGGATCCGAAGGGGCAGGTGAGCCACACAGATTCAGACTCCTCATCAAGCTTGAAGCTGTCAAAGGTGACATAGGACACACCGACATGCTGGGAAGAATTGCACTGGTTAAAGCAGCTTTCTATTTGTAGTTCAGGCTTTAGGCGGCTGGCCTGCACCTTCAGCTCCCCCAGGTAGAGCCAGCAGGGGGAGGCCTCCTCCAAGGGCTCTTGTATGTAGCAGTATCCCAGGCGTTTACGCTCGCCAAGCTCCCCACAACGATTACAATCCTGCCAGGGCTCCCAGTGGGTGAAGATGACTACCTCGCTTCCCAGGTTCAGGGTCTCATTCTGCAGGGGGTCTTGACCCAGGCCTTTGTGGGTAATGTGCAAGGCAGTGACGTCCTGGAAGTCAATCTCATACTGCGTCACTGGGCTGCCATTCTCATTGAGGCACCTGTAGAGGCCAGTCTGGTAGGGCAGTGGACTTTTCAGGAGGATGCTGCCCTTGGGCATCACGCGCACGTTGGGGACACTGGCAATATTGGTGGACCAGCTGGTCTCCTCTTGTGGGAGGTACTGCCACTGGGCCCCGGTGGAGTTGCAGCGCAAGAAGACGTCATTGCCCGAGAGCAGGGCCCTCCGGCACTGCTGGCCGCTAGGGCAGCTGATGGAGAAGTGGAAACCCAGCGCGGGGAGAGTGAAGCTGAGCAGCAGCCCCAGGGTGGTGAGCATGGTGGACTGCACAGCACAGCAGGCTCTGCTTCACTCTGGATATTGTGAGGTCACTAACGGAGCTCAGCTCTAGGCAACCGTATGACTCAGACAGCGCAGGTGTGAGGTCACTGTCCTGACTTCTTCTATGATAAGTTGATGTTTTTGTGATGTTATGTTCCTCTGAGACAGAACTGAGCCTGAGATGACCCTCAAGAGAGTTTTCAGAAGCTGCAGACTGGATGGGAGGAGATTGCCCATCTTTCTCCCCCAGAGTTGCTAGTGGTTTTGAGCCACGTGTTTTTTTGGTTGGCAGTGTAACTCTTTACCACTGAACCACCAGAGCTTCCTGTGATGGACTGCTGCTGATGTTGTTATGTACTGTGAGTGGAAGCTGACTCATGTCTGCCCCTCTAGCGGCAGAGGCAATGAATGACCCAGGAGGAGCCTGCCCTCTCGATGCTGGGAGAGTAGAAATCATGTTACACCATCCTCCTCCTCCTCCAGGGAGAGGGTCCACCATCTCAGCATGGTTCCCTGCACCATCCACTGTGTTCTGGACACAATTGGCACCAGGGATAGAGCAGTGGACAATTTTGCCCCTCTGGTCACCATTCTGACCTCTTCCTTCTCGCCCCTCCAGGCTCTCCCATCCAGTCTGGCTTGCCTCTGTTTCCTGAACACGATAGATAAGCAGACATGCTACTGCCTCAAGACCTTTTCAAGTGTCAGACCCTGGTTTTTCCTTCAAATATCTACGTAACTCCATTCATTTTAGGGAACTCTGGTAGGGAGTTGCACTGGTTCAAATCCACAACATAGGTTGTTTATGAGTCTTTCTCCTCTCATGCAATTTACAGCCTCTGAAAACCTACTGCAAGGTCAATTACAAATTAGTTCCATATCAATGATAATGAGCTTCCATCCATCCTACACACACAAATAAATATTTTTCTCAATTGAACCTTCCCCATCTCTTTCCTAAATACCTTATCAGTCTAAAATGAAAAAACAATTAGCATGCAGGCTTGTACTTTCATCACTCATGGCTCGCGTTTTGCTGCATAGTAAGCACGTGCCAGTCATTATTCTAATAACAGCGTTGGGCAGTCTAGACAAAACCCCTGCTCTCCTTGAGTCTACTTTCTCTCAAGGGAGAAGGACAATAAACAAATACAAAATTCTCAATGTCTAAGCATGGTGATTTCTCTGGTGGAAACAAGATGAGGGAAATAGGGATACAAAGTGGAAGGGTGATATATGGGTGTGAGCTATTGAGGAAGGGGAGTCAGGCTTCCCTGAGGAGTTAAGGCTTCAACAAACACCTGCATGGAGTGGGATAAGGAGCCACACGGACATAGGAGGAAAGATTCTGCTCAAGAGAGGTCAGTCCATTTTTAGCATCTTCCTGGATAGTGTTTTTATAGGTCATAGAGGCTAGAATGACTGAGGGAGGCCTGCGTAATGGAGAGAGTGATAGCAGAGGAAGTCAGAGGTTTTCCTAGGACTCTGCTAAGGTATCCCCCCTTCATCTCTGCAGCCAGTGGTTATCTTGTGGGCATGTCCTTACCCTTGGGCCCATGTGGGTGCCCAAGAACCTCTACAAGCTGTCTTTGGCTTAGTTGCTCTCTGGAACTGTGGTCTTTTTAGTATGTTTCTGCCACCCTTAAACAGAAAGTGTAGGGGAAGGCTACACATTTCTTCTGCTCTCAGATCCACAAAATCATCTAGAATTTTTGCCTGTGTCCTACCTAGTCCTCTAATCTGAGAACTGGAGTCCATAACTATGAAAGTAGTCAGGATTTAGGGAATTAAGATCTCATTGGGAAAAAAAAACACAGAAAAGTGAGTTGAACTCCAGCTTTATGTGAAGCTTTTGACCTCAAGAAATTTTCAGATACTAAGCCATGTTTGCGGGAGCTCTGGTGCCTTGTTGCTGTTGGATGCCATTGAGTCAATTCTAACTCCTAGCGACCCTGTGAACAAAGGACCTGAACACTGTCCTATCCTGTGCCAGCCCCATCATCTCTGACACAGTTGAGCCCATTGCTGCAGTCACTGTATTAACCCATCTCACTGAGGGTCTTCCTCTCTTTTGCTGACCCTCCGCCTTTTCAAGCATGATACTCCTTTCCAAGGACTAGCCTCTCTTATCAACATGCCCAGAGTATGTGAGATGAAGCTTCGCCATCCTTTCCTCCAGGGAGCACTCTGGCTGCACCGTCTCCAAGATTTTGTTCCAAGTTTGGTCTTTTGCCACTCCATGAGACATCCAGTACTCTTTGCCAATACCACAACTCAAAGGCATCAATTCCTCTTCTCACATCCTTATTCAGTTCCCAGCTTTCAGATGCATAGCATCTGATTGAAAAGATTATGGCCTGAATCAGGTGCACCTTAGCCATCAAACTGACCTCACCGCTCCTCAGTAATTTGAAGAGGTCCCTAACAATAGACTTGCCCAGAGTAATATGTCTCCTGATCTTCTGACTGCTGATGCCAAAATTGTTTACTGTGAATTCAAGTAACATGAAATCACTGACAATTTCATTCTTTCCTCCATCTATCATGATGTTGTTTCATGTTTTCAGTGGTGAGAATTTTTGTCTTCCTGATGTTGAGATGCAATCCATGTTGAAGGCTGTATAGTCTTTGGTTTTCTGCAGCAAGTGCTTCAAGTTCTTCTCATTTTCAATAAGCAAGGTTGTGTCATCTGCATAACATGGGTTATTGATGAGTCTTCCTCTGGTCTTGATGCCACATTCTTCTTCATACAGTCCAGCTTCTCGAATAATTTGCTCAGCCTACAGATTGGTCTCCCTAGCTAGGTTTAAATGAGGAAGCCTGTCAATGTTGTGTGATTAGTATTAGGGTGTTAACCAAAAGGCTGACAGTTCAAGCCCATCAGTCACTGCTCCAAGGGGAAAGATGAGGCAGCTGTCTTCCCACGAAATTTGTAGACTCTGAAAACCCAGAGGGACTTCTACTTCATCCTAAAGGGTCACTACATGTCAGAACTGACTCCACAGTGCTAAGTTTGGTGTTTTTGTTTTGTTTTGACATTTAAATCTCTGATGGAGTCTTATTTAGCATCCTAATTCCTTCAGCTTATTCCTGTGAAATCTTACAGGAATATAAATTGTAGTTACATTTATCTATCATATGCCACAACTTTTAAAAAACCCTCAAAATTATTGTTGTCAAGTTGAAACTACTCACAGCTGACAGTCAGCAGTTGTCGAAGGCTGTGATTGCACAGGAGGGGACTGTCCGTCTTTCTTCTGTGGAGCCAACAGTGGATACGAACCAGCTGCCTTTGCGTTTGTAGCACAGCTCTCTGTGGAGTTTGATGTTTAAAATTACTATAAAGAGTGATTGTCAGACACAAAGACAAGATGGGAGACATTAAAATTACAGAAAGCTCTTTAGCTGTTTCTTGGTTTCTACTTTTTCGTGAGTTAAAATCATTAAGAAAATAATAGGTGTACATTTTTTAACTACCACTGTAGAAATTCCACTCATTTTTGTGTAACACAAGTAGTATTTTGTCTCAGTTATTCTTTAAAATCTATGTATTTTGTGGTTGAATGTTTTCTGTTACACCTTAGAAGTTAATATAATATAATATATTCAATTTTTCCTTATTATATGTTACTATACAGCTGCTCCACAGAAGGATGGGCAATTTCCTCCCATGTGGGTAACTGCTTCTGAAGACCCATTGGAGGGTCTATGGATGGTTACAACCTTCTCTGCATGGTTATAACTTGATGACACTCAACAACAACAATAATAACAACACTTTCATATTATGAGAGTAATGATAGGAATTTCTATATTAGATATTTTCACTTTTATGTATTCCCCAGAATTTCAGTTACAGATTTTTCTTTTCCTTTGTTGTTGTTGTTGTTATGGGCCATTGAGTCACCTGTGACTCATACAGACCCTGCGTACCGCAGTTCTGAAGCCTGCCCTGTCCTGAGCCAGTCTCATTGACTCCAACACATCTATCCCCAAAGCCCCAGTTACTGTATCAACCCATCTCATCCAGAGTCTTCCTCTCCTCCACCCTTCTGTGCATGATACCCTTCTCCAAGGACCGGTATGGAATGGAATATTAAGTAATTTTTCTATTGTGGCTGGAAAATACTGAAAGAAAAAGGTGGCAGATTCAACTAGAACACTCACAATACATGTCACAAATAGACAATAAAAAAAATAAAACTCATAACTTAGTGGTAAGGAATTGCTCTGCCAATCCAAAGGAATGTGGTTCTAATCCACCAGCTGCTCTGTGAGAGAAAGATGAGTAATCGCCCATGTAATTTACTGCCTCTGAAAACCTACTTGGAGGAACAGCTATGACTTGGCTCTAACCTGATGATACCTAACAGACAAGCTCTATTTGAGCTCTAGTGGCTTAGTGGGTCAAGAACCCAAAGGCAAGTGGCTTGGATCCATCAACCACTACAAGCGGGAAAGATGGGCAACTGTTCATTCATGTCATTTACATTTCTGAAAACCCACTGGGCGGTCAGTTATTATTTGGTAGGTTGACTTGTACAAAATGGCCAAAGTTCTAAAGTCCTTGGGGTATATTAGAACTGAGACACAAATGGAGACTTGTACATCAATGTTCATAGCAGCAGTACTCACCATCACATGAACAAGAACATGAAAACAGCCCAAATGTCCAACCACAACCAAATGGACTGAGAAAGTGTGGTACATTCACACAATGGAATATTATGCAGCACTCAGGAGAGTGCAAATGGTCATTGCAAAGACAGAAGGGGAAGAGAAGTTCAAAATGGATTCAGAAGGGACTCTGAAAATTGCACTGGAGCGCAGAGAAGCCAAAGCACAAGGAAGAATTGAAGACACTAAAGAGTTGAATAGAAGATTTCAAAAGGCAGCATGGGATGACAAAGTAAGATCTTACAATGAAATGTGCAAGGAGTTGGGGTCAGAAAATCAAAAGGGCCAAACCCGCTCAGCATTTCTTAAGCTCAAGGAAC